CAACACTTTCACTCGAAATGGAAATAAGCTCAACAGACCTACTGTCAGCCGACTAGCTCCGGTCCCCGCCCATAAGGCCTTATGCATTTTTATTTTAGGAGACCTTGATGTTGAATAGAGATTTGGCTGAGCAAGGGCTTTAACGAAAGGCTATCAAGCTTTACTGCCTTTAATGACCAGATTTTTTTATCACTTGCCAAATTTTCTATTTCGTAGATAAAAAGAGTCAATCTATCTATTGGAAGTACCACACAAATGAAGAGATGGGCAAAATCTTATTATTTTAAACATAATTCCAAATTGAAAGGGAAAAAAGACAAGACGACTAAGGAGTTTAGCTTACTGTACAAGTGCCCGCCGACTTTCAAAGATTGAAAACGGGAATGATCAAGATGAATTAAAGTGGGCGTCCAATTATGATTACTTAGAGGATAGGCGGACCTTCATTTCGTATGAAAGTGCATGAAGAAGAGATTCGTTGGTCGATCTCACCAGATTTGGACGGATGAATCTCGTTATACTGCAGCCGGTTGGATTTTATACGATATGCATGTTGACGCATTCCACGGGACTTCCTCCCTTGTTTCGGGTGAAAACGTGCTGTGCTTTCGTCCATCATATGATGAACATCATCATAGCTGGGTTTCATTCTTGTAAGAGTCTTGCGTTAACACTAGGCTAAGAAGACTATCCGTCTTTATTTAACCTCTTATATAGACTCAGTTACGCCAAAAGAAAAATTAAAAATTAAAAACCTAGATGGGGATAGAGTGGTTTGGCTAATTATCTTGTATACTTGTCCTGCTAGCGTCCTGTGTGTGTTAGCGTCTAAACACAATACCGGTCTTAAATCAGAGCTATCAAAAGGTTAAAGTTAGACTATCATCATTAAGGCATAATGACCTTAACGAAAGCCCTGGCCGAGACTGCGTAAGTCAGTAAGTAAGTATGATTAAGATAATGATATATGAGCTTGTAAGCATGTAAATCAAGCTACGAAACCACTTGTCCTAACCTCTGAGTCTAGCATCATAAACGTTTAGCCCTCTGAGGAAAGGCATGACTAGGGCTGCGTAATTTGGCACGTCTGGTTTGGTTGATCAGCTTAATTTAACATGTTGGACGAATGTGAATGAAGTTAGAACCATCCCCGAGGAGACAAATTGAGTCGCCTTTTTTTGACGGCGGCTCAACACCCTCTCATAATTAGCTTCTACTCAACTTTCTACCACCGTTTCTCACATTTGATGTATTTCCTAAGCTATTAATTTCAATAGCCTCTCTTATCTTTCTTTTAAACACAGACGTACCATAATCATCAAACCTACTAGTTTGAGACCATTATATTTCATGTCCAGCTTCTACCATGTGTTAGGCCACTTCTGACCGTTGAATCCAGCTACCTTGGCAAGCATTTTTATGTTGAATAGGTCGACATGTCTCACCAACATAACATCGACCACATGAGCAAACAATCTTGTAGCAGCTGGATCTCGATAGTGGGTCATATTTATCTCTAAAAGATGGCATAAAAGAAGAAAGTATGAGGGTTTCTTTGAACATTGTTTTTATGTCCCACTTCTTCACCAATTCGCCTATCTCTTTGGAGATAAAACATGACTGCAAAATTAGGACATGGAAAAATGTCTCATTCTGTGTCTCTTTGACTAAATGGTCTCCGTCTGCAAATGTATTCCTCAGTAGAGAGATATTATTCTCAATTGGGCCCAAAGAATAATTATTTTCCAGAAATATATTTGTCAGCTGTTCCAACTCTTTAC